ATTCCCCCTCCCCCGGTCCCCGTCCAAATCCTCTGCTGCCCAGATTGCGGTGTGAGGCTCACTGAGTCACAGTCTCCCCCGCTGCAGCCAATCTGTTGAGCTGCAATTACATCCAGAGCCAAAGCATTGCCATGCCGGCATCCTACAAATGAGCCTATGGAAACGCCTGCACACACAACAGCTCCCATAATTCAGAGCAAGTTTTTATCTCTTTGAGAACTAATTCAATCCAACAGAACTTCCAGAAGGACACTTAACGAAAAATATCTTCATTTATTTGATTATCTGCAGTCCATTATGTCACCTAGCTAAGCATGGCCGTAGCATAAAACTCAACAATGCATTGTCCACTAAGGCTGCGAAATAACTAAAAAAAAAACAGCACTTTTAAACTTTTTTTTTTTTAGCCACAACCACTAAAGCATGAAAAGAATGGTATATGGATTATCCACTGCTCAAAAATGATTGATTAGTCAGGTTTCATTTTAACAGCTTGCGGAACATCTAAAACTGTCTAAAGTACTGATTCTCAAACTTTTTACACCACTTCAAATAGTGTTTTGTTCTCCACATAAACTGCATAGGCTAAAATTAAAGTCAAATCATAAATTCTTACGTTGTCTTGCTTTGGGTGTAGCCCAAATCTGCTTCCCCAAGAAAGGCAACAATCGGCAGTTAGTCACTGCAAGATACTGAAACTGGGTTACTTGTGTGATATCATAGATTACTGATAATATCATATCACCCAACCCTACTGTCCATTACAAAGAAAATAATTGGAAGCATATAAATATTCCCTACTTTTAATACAAACATCGCCATTATTAACCATACACATGCTTAGGTATAACTTAACTTGAAATTTAATGGCAATCCTTTACAACTAGCCCCAGTGTTCACTGCAAATGCCACACGGGTACAAAGGTACACTGAGGAAGCACTCCACGGCAAAATGCCTTTGGAGTTAGGTTGTTTTGTGGCCATCAACCTCAGGATAACACAGGAACTGCATTATACAGTTCTAATGGCAGCCTGCCGTCTACCACACCAGCCGTCACCTCCTCAGCCCAAGTTCAGCTGTCCCTATGAGGTAAGAAAGTCAAGGAGTATCTCCCAATAAAAGAGAGCAGATGCTGGGGAAGTAAACAAAGCTTAATCTGCCCTGTAATAAATTTTGTTGGCCTGCTGTAGTCACACAGGAGAAACTGGCTCTGCATTCCAAAAAAAACTGTTCACGCCTTACATAAAGTCAATTACCCCTCCCCCATTCCATAAAACCTCATTCTGCTATACCTATATATATTTCAGTGAAGAACTGGACTGGACTGACAGCATTCTGATTCAGGGAAAACAGCTGGACTCATATAGGTACAGCTCATATAGCAACTCAGTACCAAAATCAAGTCAACACAGAAATTTAAATAATTTTACATTAGAGATGAACAATACAGATGGCTTATTTAATGTTGGTCTCAATGTTAATTTCATTGATGAAAATATGATCTGACCAAGGGTTTCAGAGTTAACTAAAAATGTGACTAAAATATGCATTGATGATTATAAAAGCAAACATTTTATTAATCTGCCAAATAAAAATAAAAGCCAGATTTTGTCACCACTGCATCCTTTTCTGATTAAAAAAGAAGTAGATTGTGTTTCCCCAAGCATATAGTGCCTGTCGCATGTGGTAACATTTTCCCTGCAGTAACCATCAGGTTTAGGCCATTGAGAGACACGTAAACTAATGTTTATTGACAGCTGAGTGTGTGACTACTAAAATTGCTCAAATAGGTAGATAGCATTTTGGTAATCCTCAGTAATGTCCAATTCCGCCAGAAATCAGACTAAAATGTATTTTTCAGAAAATGATTATAGTGACCATTAATGCCATTTTTTGACTAAAGTATGGCTGACACTAAAATGTATTTTGGTAATTTGACTAGGACTAAAATTGAAATGGTTTACTAAAATGTATTTTTGTCATTTGACTAAGACTAAAACTAAATTAAACAAGGGTGTCAAAATTAACACCAGTTTCAAATCATGTATTTTGCAATAGGATTCATAAAAAAACTCTAAAGAATTCTGTAAATTCTTTCCAATGTCTATCACATATGAATGTGGACAAAAAGAAATCTTTAGAAGGGGATATTTATCAAAATGCAAGAATCAGTTGAGAAGTTCTAATTTTACCCCAAAACAGAAAAAATGTGCAGGCCATATATACGGTTTTGTTTTANGGGGATATTTATCAAAATGCAAGAATCAGTTGAGAAGTTCTAATTTTACCCCAAAACAGAAAAAATGTGCAGGCCATATATACGGTTTTGTTTTAAAGGCTTTAAAATACTACTTTCTTTCTTATATGCACACTGCTCGAAAAAAGGTATATACACACACACACACACATATATATATATATATATATATATATATATATATATGGGGATATTTATCAAAATGCAAGAATCAGTTGAGAAGTTCTAATTTTACCCCAAAACAGAAAAAATGTGCAGGCCATATATACGGTTTTGTTTTAAAGGCTTTAAAATACTACTTTCTTTCTTATATGCACACTGCTCGAAAAAAGGTATACACACACACATATACACACATATATACATATATATACATATATATACATACATATACATATACATATACATATACATACATATACATACATACACATATATATACATATACATATATATACATATATATACATACACATATATATACATACACATATATATACATATACATACATACACATATATATACATATACATATATATACATATATATACATAC